AGCTGAAAACCACTCGGTTATCCCAGTTAAAACACACCACAGTAGTTAAGCATCTCCAGTGAAAGGTTGCAGAGTGAGGCTGAAAAAGACCTTTTAGTGGGGGCATTGCCAGCCTGAACTGATTGCTCTGATTATCCATCCATCCATCCATCCATCCATCCATCCATCCATCCATCCATCCATCCATCTTCTTTGCAGAATGTCTTGGATTCAGTTGCTGATATTCCCAATGAAAGAACTGCAGAGAACAAGGCTGGGGATACATCCCTGTTACCCCAAAGTTGGCTTAAATTATTTTGCTTTTGCTGAGGACAAAGGGTCCCTGCCCTCTGCAGCAGCTGTGCACATGAGCACTAAATCTTTCTTTGACACAAGGCATACAACAGCGTCCTTGGTGGGTACCAGTGGTTCCGCTGACCCAGTTCCAGCAGTTCTTCCTCACCTCCTCCAGCCCCTCACTCCATCCAACAACAGGACCATGGCACTGTTACCTGTTGACACTTACCTCCACTTTCAGCGCTGCACATCCATTTAAAAACTGTTGGATATTGCCAATGCAGTCAGCTTCTGTCTTGGGCTCCAGGCAATACTAAAAAAGAACCACAACCTGACAATCAATGGATTTTGAAGCTTGCGACAACTCCTATCAGCTAGCCTGCTTTTGTTCTCAGCAAACATTAGCCTGGGCGTTTGTACTAATGAATGAGACAGCTTGGTGCTCGCTGGATTTTCACAAGAAGGTGGGCTGTGGGTGGGCGGGGGGGAAGGCAAGTTGTCAGCTCAGGAAGAACCATGGAACAAATGAACCCAAAGCCACCCAGCTCAGACCTTGGCCCTGAACGTTTGAGAAGACCTCACCCATGGGATTCCCTCTGCCAGGAAGAAAAAGATCTTTGCAGATGAGCAAGAAGGGGGGAATCCCACTGCTGAGCAATTTGGGGGAATTTTGAAGGTGTCTTTATGGGAGATACACCAAGTGGGCTGGAGGTGTTTAGACACTGATGGGGAAGGTCTTCTGCAGAGGGCTACCTTGGAAGGCCACTGAGAATGTGCAGGGCCTTCAAGATGAAACAGAAGGATTCTAGCAAGGGGAGGAACGCTCACCGTTTCTCAAATGGCTTCTGACCCTGTGACCCTGTGACGGGATACTCCACAAGGGAGACTTTGGCCTGCTCCACCAGGCTGTTGGTTAGCCTAATTTCAGGTGATAATGGCAACCTTTAAAGCCAGGTAATGTCGCTTGCATTTCAAAGACTTGCTCTCATGCAAATCTGAGGCTTAAAACAGTTACCGTTGCATTTTGGATATTGTTGGCAACCTTCTAATTATAATTCTTGTCTTTCTGGTTTTGTTGCTCTAGTGGATTTTTTTTTTCTTTTCTTTTTTTGAGAACAGGGAAGTTCTTTGAAGAGTCGGGAAGAAACGTGCATAACAACAACTAAAAAAAGGAATTAATCATCTGAAACTGTCTTCTGGGGCCCATGAGAACCCAGGAACCTGGAAAACATCTTGCTTTCTTTATTTGCGATGATACTCTTTCTGAAATGCAATTCTGAAGAAAGCACACCGGGGAAAACTGTTTCATTTATGCGGGTGTGATATTTAATTCTTTCGGCCCCTGCATTTTGTTGCTGCTCTTACGATTTCCTGCTTTGCTGATTTAGCACTGATTATGGGCTTGTCTCGGGTTTTAACGGTCACAGTTGAGAAGATTGTTTTTCAAGACAGCCATCGGGTTAAGATGGTTTCAGAAATAAATAAATTGCTGTAGATTAAGTCGGCACATTTGTCTATCCTGCGTACTGACCTGTCCAAACTGCAGATACATTGGACTTCAATTCTCACAGCCCTCTCTTATCTTTATGCTGGCTGGAGATCATGGGAGTTGGGGTAGCTGTCAATCATCCAGGTAGATGATTGTTCTCATATTTAGTTACATATTTAGTTGTGTGTTTGAATACAGCTTGTCGAATAAAATCCCCTTTGCTAGAGTCACGCCTAAAACAAAGTCCTACTGTATAAGCCACAGGGGACTTCCCGGACTGCTAACCCAGAAGCTCTGACTTCTAGATCTCGATTCACATCTAAGTGGGAGTCAAATACAGCTTAAGGCCATGCATGAAGAAAATGTATTGATTTCCAGCAGGTCTGAATCAGCATTTTGCACCCAAAGCGTCCACCCTACGGCTGAGCTTCTCCTAAAAATCAAACGAGATTTCAGTCTCTGTGGTTCCGATTAAGTAGGCACAAGGGGAGATGGCTTGGGCAAAGTCAGGCAGTTGCTGGTGCTTAGCGCTGCAGGAGCCCTCAGGCGCTCCAGAGAGGGTTTTTCCTAGAGATGCTGAACCAGGGCTCTTGGACTTCCAAATCATGGTTTCTGATTTTCAACATATATATAGATAACAACTTTGGAAGCACAGAGATGTAGAGAGAGGGAAAAGTGACTGTCCTTCTGTGCACGTAATATCATACTGTAATTAAAACACAATCACTGTGTGTTGTGGGGTCCAGAACGCTTTTGCTTTGGGGGGGAAAAATGAAAAAAACGTAACAGCCTTGAGATTCAGGTCAGCAAGAGCCCTGAGGGCTGCAAAGAGAGGCCCAAAATGTTTGCACTCAGCAGCTGTCTCAGTGAGGTTCCTCAAATTCCAGGCCAGGGGGTGCAGGGCCCCCCATCTTGCAGGGCCTGCCGTGGGCCTTGCTCTTCCTGTTGCCCATAAGAAGCAACATCAGCAGATCTTCCGCAGCTCGTGAAGCAGAAGCTGAGGTCAAGAGTCACGTGGGCAGGATGTGGCCAAAACACAGCAGTAGATTTGGATCTCCAGGCCGTCAAATTTTGGAATAATCTGTTGTGTTTTTAACCCAGACCAATGCATTACTGCTTCCTTTTTCCTCAAGAGCAGCTCATTCAGAGGGGGGAACAAAAACCTAGATGCCTGAATGGTTCTTCTCACTCCAGACCTCTAGATCAGTGTTCCTCAACCTTAGCCACTTGAAGACGTGTAGACTTCAACTCTCAGAATT